TTTGAGATGGAGTTTCGCTCTTGTTACCCAGGCTGGAGTGCAATGGCGCGATCTCGGCTCACCGCAACCTCTGTCTCCTGGGTTCAAGCAATTCTCCTGTCTCAGCCTCCCGAGTGAGTAGCTGGGACTACAGGTGTGCGCCACTATGCCCAGCTAATTTTTGTATTTTTAGTAGAGATGGGGTTTCACCATGTTGACCAGGAGGTCTCGATCTCTTGACCTCGTAATCCACCTGTCTCGGCCTCCCAAAGTGCTGGGATTATAGGCGTGAGCCACCACGCCCGGCCTGAAACTCTTTTCATAGCATCTCATCTTGGACTATTTAGTTTGCTATATTGATTTGTCTTCAAATAATAATACATGGTTTTAAATACTGTATCATAAAATATATTTTAACATTTGAAAGTTTGAGGACATGTTTAAGCATAATCCTAAAAGGATTTGAGGAAAAATGCAGTCTTAAGATATCCTTACCATACACTGGTGTCTTCCCTGGCAGGATGACGATAATAAGCTGTAGGCCAGAATATGTGTTCTTGAGATGCCGGAACATGGGCTCTACGCTGTCTGCCCCCTGTGCATATTTGCAGAAGCATGGCTGGCCCTGGATGGGCATCCCTGCATCCTTAGAAATCTTACGCAGCTGGTCTGTGAAACCCCTAGAAGGAGAAACCACTAAATATAAAACCTTTGTCTAGTCATGAATTTCTACAAAGTGGTAATGGGAAGTTTGGGAAGGGAATGGAAGGATGAAGCAAAGATTTGTGTGCTCCATATATGAGAGGTCACCAGACTACTGATGTTAAGGGCAATGGTGGGTCAGTAATCAATTTTGCAAACTAAGAACATACTATACAGTTATACGGTATTTTATAGTTTACAAGGAGCATTAGTAATAGCATACACTGGTTAAGAGCCCAGCTCTAGAGTTAGTAAGGAGAGTTCAATTCCCAGTTCTGCTATGTACTAGCCATAAAATTTTAGGCAATTTATTTCAGTTTTCCTCAACTGTAAAAGGATTACTTCCATTATAGGGTTGGTGTGAAGATTAAACGAGATCATACATGTAAAGCACTTGGAACACCACCTAAGACCATGGTAAAAGCTTGATAAACTTTAGCTATTGTATATTTTCTAATTTGATTGACAAGATCCATAAGAAAGAGGCAGGGCAGGTATATTCCTATTTTACAGGTCAGAAAACAGTTTCATAGATATTACATATTTGGCCAAAGGTCAAATTATTAGATAAATGGTAGAGCCAGAATTTCTATAGTATTACCTATCTCACACTAGAATAGCAGGAAAGATTATAAGCTCAGAAGATACTTTTTAAAATATAAAAAGAAAATTTAAAAACAGATGAGGCTGGGTACAGTGACTCATGTCTGTAATCTCGGCACTCTGGGGAGTCTGAGGCAAGCGGATCACTTGAAGTCAGGAGTTTGAGACCAGCCTGGCCAACATGGCAAAACCCCATCTCTACTAAGAATACAAAACTAGTTTGATGTGGTGGCAGGCACCTGTAGTTCCAGCTACTTGGGAGGCTGAGGCAGGAGAATCATTTAAAGCTGGGACGTAGAGGTTGCAGTGAGCCAAGATTGTGCCACTGCACTCCAGCCTAGATGACAGAGTGAGACTCTGCCTCAAAACAAACAAACAAACAGATGAGGCAGGACGCATTCAACGTACTTTGATTTACACTGAAAAACTCCCAAAACCAATTTCTTTCTGTCTTTTTTTTTTTTTTTTTTTTTTTTTTTTTTTTTTTTTTTGAGATGGGTTATCACTCTGTTGCCCAGGCTGGAGTACAGTGATACAATCACAACTCACTACAGCCTAAACTTCCCAGGCTTAAACGGTTCTCCCACCTGAGCTCCCCAAGTAGCTGGGATTACAGGCATGTGCCACCATGCATGGCTAATTTTTGTATTTGTAGTAGAGATGGGGTTTCACCATGTTGGTCAGGCTGGTCTCAAACTCCTGGCCTCAGGCGATCCATCCACCTTGGTCTCCCAAAGTTCGGGGATTACGGGCATGAGCCACCGATCCCAGCCACTAATTTCATATTTAATGAAAATTCTGAATTTAGTAAAAATAAGTAATAATGAGCAACAATTGCTTCACTTGCTTTTAAAACAAATGAGGTCCTAAGTCAAGGATCTGAGTAATCTTTGCTTAAAATACTCTGATTTCTTCAGGATAGAGATGAAGTTTATAGATATTCCCTTCTCTTATTCCTTATTGGTGTTTAATTTTAAAAAGTATGAAATTGAATATTTTCACTTAGCCTGAACAAGAGCCACAAGCTCAATGATGCTGAGACATCTATTCGAGCTGTGAATAACAAATATAAAATTTTTAAAAAACTCAAGTTCAAAAAACAATTTTTTTTTTTGGCTTTTGAGGCCAAATAAGATAATGGTAGCATTGTAATAAGCCATCCTTATGATATTTTACTTGAAATCAGGGAGACAAAAACTTTGGAGGAAAAAAATATATTAAGTAATCATTAAAGCATCCATTTAGAGATTTGGGATTAATAAAAAGGGATGAACAGAAATAAATACCAAAAAAATTTATTTCTCACATTCTAATTTCTTCTTGCCATGAAGAAGGCAAGGCAAATTCTGAACTGGCTTGAGGTAAACTGGTCTCTGTATCACCCACGAACGTTTCATTATTGGCATACTTCATATAAGTAGAGATTTAAATTAGATAAGGATCATTTCCTTAAGAAAATTAGATTCCAGAGGGGTAATACATTTACAAAATAATTATAATACAATTGTATTTTGCACATAAATTGACAAGCACAAATAGAGAGGATACAGATGGGTAGAGATAGGAAGGAGGCATTCTTAGTAAAGGGCTGCATGAGTGGAAACAGGAAGAAAAGGACAGGGAGACAGAAGGAATACAGTGCTTCAGTTTCTTTGCATAGAATATGTGAAAATGGAGTAATGACGAAGGACTTAAGAGACTAGTGAAAGATATTAAATGTCATACTGATTTTACACTTGAACCCAGGAGGCAGAGATTGCACTGAGCCGAGATCATGCCACTGCACTCCAGCCTGGGCTACAGAGTGAGACTCTATCTCAAAAAAATGAATAAAATTAATAAATGTCATACGGATTTTGAATGTCACTCTTTGTCAAAGAGAAGCCTAAACGTTTCAGAGTAGGAATAGTCACAGTGGAGGTGGTGTTCTTTCACGACAACCAAAATTCTCAAACAAGGGTGACAGCAGAAGCCCTTGAGACTGTGTGAGAATCCCAAATGCGAGGAGATTGATAATGAAGAGGAAAAGAAGCCGAACTAAAGAACCAGAAGGCAAGAGAGGAGAATGTCAAGAAGGTAGGCAGGGTGCTGTGGCTCACGCCTGTAATTCCAGAACTTTGGGAGGCCAAGGGAAGAGGACTGCTTGAGTCCAGGAGTTTGAGACCAGCCTCGGCAACATAGTGAGATCCTATCTATACAAAAAAATAGAATTAGCTGGGCATGGTGGCGTATGTCTGTAGTCCCAGCTACTTGGGAAGCTCAGGTGGGAAGATCATTTGAGCCTGGGAAGTTGAGGCTGCAGTGAGTTGTGATTGTATCACCACACTCCAGCCTGGGTAACAGAGTGAGACCCCATCTCGGAAAAAAAAAAAAAAAAAAAAAAGGAGGCAGTCATATTTTAAGAAAACTAATGGCTTAGAAGAGACCATTGGAACTGATAAGCATAAAGATACAAGAAATCTTCCAGGAACCAGTTTTAGCAGAGCACTAAGATCACAAGGGAGGAGAGATGATAGCGGTCTGGAAGCCTAAGAGATTAAGTCAGATCATGTGAAAATTGCTGATCAAAAAAAAATTGAACAGAAGATTTTTGAGCACTTAGAAATTGGAGGACAGAATCTGAAGAAGAGAGAAAAAGTGGTGGAGATAAAAGCCAAATTTTGGAAAGTAAGGAAATAGACACAAGGAGTTTAACCATTCCGTCAAGATTTTCAAAAGAAAAATAAGGATCTTAGTTAATCCTCACTTGGTAGGTAGTGTCACATTACGTTTCACCTAAAGCTGTCTCCTTACGTTTTTAAAGTTTGGCCTATAGATTTCTCTGTACATAGTGAACTGTAATCTCTAGATATGTAAACAAGCTATAACCTATTCTTGTACCAATTGCTGTGTTTCAGCCCATCAAAGGCAGGCAGGCAACTGTTCAAACCACGTTCAAATAAGGCAAATATCAAGGTGTAAGCTACACAGCTGTTTCTGTACATCTTTTTCTGTCTATAAAGACTCTCTCTGAACCTATTCTAGTTCTAAGGGCTGCCTGATTTGTGAATCATTGTTTCCTCAATTAAACTCTGTTAAATTTAATTCGTATAGTTTATCTTTTAACAGATGGTGTCAGAAGTGGAATCTGAAGTAGAGATGCTAGCAATCCCTAGCAGCACAGAATGACTAAGCATGGTACCAGTCAGACTCACTGTGACCACTGCTCTCTTGCAAGCAACTGAAGATTGTGGGTAAATTCTCAGATTCTGAAGCTCCATGGATTTGCATTTTGAGCTATCTGAATCTGTTTGATCAAATTTTTAAATCTGAAATGGGTTCAGAAGTCATGACAGAAACTGGACTAGGTCCAGAATTGGACTGGATCTGATAATAAACTGACATGGATTCAGTTAGAGTCCTAACTGAGTCAGGCAGAAACTGGCAGTTAATGGCAAATAAGGAGGTGTGAACTTTGGCTTTTGGAAATTCACAGAGATTTTTGTGTTCTATGTCTATGTACTTTATTTATTTATTTTTTTTGAGATAGAGTCTCACTGTTGTCACCTGGGCTGGAGTGCAATGGTGCGATCTTAGCTGTCTGCAACCTCCATCTCCAGGGTTCTAGCACTTCTCCTGCCTCAGCCTCCCATGTAGCTGAGATTATGGGTGCCTGCCACCACGTGCAGCTAATTTTTGTGTTTTTAGTAGAGACGGGGTTTCACCACGTTGGCCAAGCTGGTCTCCAACTCCTGACCTCAGGGGATCTACCTGCCTCAGCCTCCCAAAATGTTGGGATTGTAGGCGTGAGCCACCACGCCTGGCCTGTGCCCTTTGTTTCTTTTTCTTGTGTGTCTAGGTAGGGGAAAAATCACTGGCTAAGTTGATCAATGGGATCTGACAGCCAAAGCCAAGATTCAAGGTAAAAAATGGGATCCTTAATTTCTGAAGAACTGAGTACTCTACCTTATAGCCATGTCTACCTACACATGCATAAATGTTGGAACCCAAAAGTGGCAAACACTGAAATGGTGAAATCTCACTTTAGGTAATTAAAAATTATAGTGGAACATCCAAAATGAATACGACTACACTTTAAGAAGTCCATTTACAAATGAGAGCTCTAGGCCAGGTGCCATGGTTCACGCTTATAATCCTGGCCACTTTGGGAGGCCAAAGCAGGAGGATTGCTTGAGCTTAGGAGTTTGAGACCAGCCTGGGCAACACAATGAGACTTTGTCTCTACAAAAAAAGGAAAAAATTAGCAGGGCATGGTGGCATGTCCTTGTGGTCCCATCTACTTTGGGAGGCTGACGTAGGAGGATCACTTAAGCCTGGGAGGTTGAAGCTCCAGTTAGCCATGGTCACACCACTGCACTCCAGCCTGGACAAAAGG